TCTTCCTCTCTGTAAAAAAAACAATAAAATGTATTTTTTTTTTAAAGAAGTATGTGTCTACTCATTTTACTTTTCATGCAATCCCAGAGATTCCCCCTCTTTGCTTTCTCCCGCCTCCCCAATCCATCACCAATGAATCTCACCCAGTGCATAACCGCCGCTCCCTGGAGCATTTCCTCAATCCGCTGAGATTTTGCTTCCTGGCAATTGTCAGTTTGGCTCAAATAAACTCATAAAAAAAATTCTTAAAAGTTTGGATGTTTCTTACATTGGCAAGTTATTAGCAATAATAATCGTGACCACGTACCTAGCTAGCCCTCGCTGTGGGCCAGGCACTGTCCTGAGTGCCATACATATGCGTAGATATTAGTGCATGGGAACCTCACCAACAACTGTTTGAGGATGTACTGGCATGAGGTGTGCATGAGTACCTCACCTCTGCCCACACTGGGGAGACATGAAAGCTAGAATTTTAAAATGTTTGAATATGTGCTCCTGGTCAATACCAGTCTGCTCTGATTGTTATTTTTTTTTTTTATAGCAAAGGTGGAGATTTATTGAAGTACAGGTACAGACTGCCACGTGGGGAGAGGGAAAGAGTCCCACAGAATGGACTCCCACACAGGGAGGGGTAAGGGTTCCCTCATTGTTGTTATTGCTACACAAAGCAGCAGGCCTTGGAAGGGCCCCTGTGTTCAGGCAGCAGCTTGTGTTCCCCTCTGTTTCCTGTGTGTCTGTCTCCCTCCTGTTTGTGACCTCCGATTCTCACTGCCTCCCAGGCACCATTTGGCTGCTTGCTGTGTCTGGACCCTGACTCCTTCCCCCTTCCCCACCTCAGCAACAGAGATCGCTACTTGCCTGCCACTATCCACTCTCCCTGCAGGACCCCATGGTACTTATACTTAAATGACAAACTGGGCTCCCTCTTTTTGACCTTACCATCTGACGTGCTTTTGCTTCCAACCTGAGGCACCTGTGACTCCCAGGAGAGCCGTCCTGCCCTTCTGCCTCTTTGTACCCACAGAGAGCCTGAAGGGCCTGGGATTTGTCGGGGGGGGGGGGGGGGGGGGGGGGGACCTTAGCCATGACTGGCAGGCATAGAAGTATGGAAGCCCAGACCCCCTGCTGGGGTGGAGACAGCTCTGAGGCGTGATTTGCATTCCGAAGCAAATCCTGCAGGTCAGATGAAGTTTCCCTTCATGTAACTTCAGAGATCCTTGCTTGCTACTCCCCTTCTGCTGGTTTCTCCTGCGAGTGTTTCCTTCTGAAACCATGTGCATGCAGTCTTTGTTCCAAGGCCCACTTCTGGGACACGAACATTTAGACACAATCTTCTTACTTTGGCACAAAAGCCTGACTCTATTCTGGCACAAGGCCCTGAGTAAAGGCAACATGTCCCAGCCTCTTATGTAAACTAAGAATATGGCTAAGCTCTTGCCAATGGAATCTAAGCAGGAGTGTGCTGTGAGACTTCTAGGAAGTCCGTAGCTGTTGACTAGAGCTCAGCTTGCCCTAAGGCTGGGGCATGCCTTTGGGATGTGGGATGAAAGATCTGGCAACAACATCACGGACCTGGCAATGCCAACCACACGTTGCCTACTACCCCATCCCAACCTCTTTTCCTATATATATATATATACACACACACACACATATAGTTGATTTTTTACAGAGAGGAAGGGAGAGGGATAGAGAGTTAGAAACACCAACGAGAGAGAAACATCGATCAGCTGCCACCTGCACGTCCCCTACTGGGGATGTGCCCGAAACCAAGGTACATGCCCTTGACCAGAATCGAACGTGGAACCCTTCAGTCCACAAGCTGAAACTCTATCGACTGAGCCAAACTGGTTAGGGCCTAACCTCTTTTATGTGACAAATAAGTTTCTCTCTTTTTAAATCCAATGTCATTTTATTTTTTGTGATATGTTCCCAAACTTATAGTCCAGACCACTACAGAAGCTGAACAAAGGCAGATGCTTGCTTTCCTGCCTCCTTTGCAGCTAAGTTTTGCTGGTGTGACCCCGTTCTGGCCAATTATCTATAAGGGAAGTTCTGGTGGGGAGAAAGGTTGGAGGAAAGAAGTCCTAGAAAAAGGTATTGTTTTCCCAGATGGAAAAACAAAAACAAAAATAGGTATATGACATAGAGCTCTCTTGCCATCCTGGCTACCTACTCTCTGCTGCTATCAGGTGATGTCTGGAGCTGTGGCAACCATTTTATCGTCATGAAGCAATAAGTCTACAGACAAAAAGCCAACAGCTGGAGGTAGCTGTGCAGAAGGATGGAGAGAGCCTGAACCTTCCAAAAACCACGGAGTCATCAAACCATCCTGTGACCCGCCACCCCACACACGAACATTCCGCAGAGTTCACCTGTTCTCCTGATATTTACAGCTGAACGCAGACTAACAGAGAACAAAGCACTGACATGAACTAAGGAACATTTACTCTTTATAAGACCTGAAGGTGAAACATTCTCAAGAAGCCTACTACCGTAACCTTGGGGGGGAATGGGGGGGGGGGGGGAAGACGGGGTTCTGATGAGATAGTTGTCTGTGTCAGGCTATCTCAGGTGGCAAGAAACAAATTCCAACTTCAAGGAACTTAATAGGAAATGAGCTCCAGCCTGACCGGAGTGGCTCAGTGGCTGAGCATCAACCTATGAACCAAGAGGTCATAGTTCCATTCCCCGTTAGGGCACATACCCAGTTTGCAGGCTCAATCCCCAGGGTGGGGTGTACAGGAGGCAGCTGAACAGTGATTCTCTCTCATCACTGGTGTTTCTTTCTCCCTCCTCCCCTCCCTCCCTTAAATCAATAAAAATATTTGTTGAAAGAAAGAAAGAAAGAAAGAAAGAAAGAAAGAAAGAAAGAAAGAAAGAAAGAGAAGGAAAGAAGGAAGGAAGGAAGGAAGGAAGGAAGGAAGGAAGGAAGGAAGGAAGGAAGGAAGGAAGGAAGGAAGGAAGGAAAGGAAGGAAGGAAGAAGGGAGCTCCAGGATCAGTTGACTAGGGTGCTCAGCAATGTCATCAGCAACCCAGGCTCCTCCCCTTTCTGCTCAGCCAGTCTGAAAATGGGCTTCATTCTCCAGCTTCTGGCAAGACAGGAGTGTGCTTCCAGGTGGCACATTCAGCCGTGACAAGGCCTGTGAGCCCCATCCCCCGCGTCCCCCACTTCTCATCCCGATTCTCTCCCCCTTGTCTTCTCCCTCCAGCTGCACTTGCTTGCTGTTCCTCAAACATGCTGGGTGGTCTCTGCCCCAGGGCCTCTGGCCTGCTGTTCCTTCTGCCCACAGTGCTCTTCACACACGTGCAGCCCAGATCCTTCAGGTCCTTGCTCAAACAGATTTCCCAGCGAGGCCTCCCCTGACTGAGTCACTTAAAATCATAACCACCTCCCAGTCCCCCATCCCCTTTAGGGCTTGAATTTTCCAACACAGGGCACAGTCCCTGCCTGCTATGGTCTGGGCTCTGCCTGCCTAAGCAGGTGTGCTCCAGGAGCACAGAGATGCTTTTATGATGGTGCCTTCATGGTCCCCAGGCCCTAGCAGACTAGGTGTCCCATAACTACCTGCAGAAGCAAGGAAAGGCAGACAGGAGGTGGTCAACATCCGCAGGAGGACTGGGGAGGGAGGATATTTTCAGAGATGGGCCCCCACCTCCATCCATCCATCACCGCCTGGATTTCCCCTGGCATCTCATCCAGAATTGCATATTCCCGGGCTCAAGGAGCCGCTGGCAAAGAGAAGGATCTTCCTTCAGCTCCACAGTTGGGTGGAGTCAGTGGGTGTTGGAGAGGGGTGGGCCCCTGAAGGAAATGAACGGGAGATGGAGAAATGGATGCTGGGAATGCTCAACAGGACCAGCTCTGCCCTCTAACCCCTGGTCCTCCTCTCTTTTTTTCAGGAAGAAAGGAAGATGGAGGGAGAAAGGGAGAGGGAGAGGGAGGGGGAAAGAGAGGGAGAAGGAGAGGGAGAGGGAGAAGAAGAGGGAGAGGGAGAGGGAGAGGGAGAGGGAGAGGGAGAGGGAGAGGGAGAGGGAGAGGGAGAGGGAGAGGGAGAGGGAGAGATCAGTGATGAGAGACAATCTTTGATCCACTGCCTCCTACACGCCCCCTATTGGGGATCAAGTCCAAAATCCAGGCATGTACCCTCACCAGAATCGAACTTAGTGACCTCCTGGTTCATAGGTCGAAGCTCAACCACTGAGCAACACAGTCCAGGCTGGGCTTTCTCTCTTGTCCGTGGGTTTAAAACAACGGCAGCTCATCCCTTCACTGCCACGTGTCCAAAAACATATGTCAACACCCTAGCTCGTATTCACCCCGCTGGAATCTGGCTTCCACGCCCAGTCAATGGGCTCCGCACCCGGGTATGGGTGACCTATTTGTTTCAAAGTCCTCCTGGTCCTGATCTGACTCTGCCCTGCTGATAGCTCCAGCTCCCTCTACTGCCAAACCAGCGCTCCAGCCAAACCACCACCCCTTTCCAGGTCACTGTCCCCCTCTCCAGGTCACTGTCCCCCTCTCCAGGTCACTGCGCCACAGGGACCCCAAAATGCCCGGCCCCAGGTTCACCCTGCGGGAGAGCACAGCGCCAAGCCTGGGGGAACTGATGGAGCAGTGAAACCCTGAGTTTGGAGATGTCAACCACCTCGGGGGAGGAACTCTAGGTGCGCAAGCCAGGCCGGAGGGAGGTGCTGGGTGGCGCCGAGTGAGCCGCGCTCCCTTGGGGGGAGGCGTCTCCACGGCCCCCGGGTCCCGAACCCGGGTCACCTAGGCGCCGCGTCCCGCCTCCAGGCCCCGCCACCCGCTGCCCCGGGGCCCCCGCAGGGCGCAGGGGGGCGGGGTCTGCGGGAACCCCCGGAGGGCGCGGCCCGTCGGGACCCGGCTCCCTGCATGGCCACCCGGGGGCGGGGGCGGGGAGGGGAGGGGCCGCGCGGCCCTATTTCCCCAGCGCCGCTCCGGCCCAGCCCGTGGACCGCAGCGCCAGCTCCCGCGTCCATGCAGCCCCGCCGGCAAGCGCTGCCCGCGCCCGGGGGCCCGCGCCCCGCCGCCCCGCGCCCCGCCGCCCCGCTGCCGGCGCTGCTGCTGCTGCTGCTGCTGGCCCTCCAGGGTGCGGCGGCGGCCCCCGCGGGCTCCGAGGCTCCCCGGGAGGCCGCGGGGTGGCAGCTGGACCCCGAGCTCCCGCACGGGCTGCTGCAGAAGGCGGCGCGCGCGGCGCTGCACTTCTTCCACTTCCGCGCGGGCTCGCCCTCCGCGCTGCGGGCGCTGGCCGCCGTGCAGCGGGGCCGCGCGCGGGTGAGTGCGGGGGGAACCCGGGGGGCGCGCGGGTGAGTGCGGGGGGACCCGGGGGGCGCGCGCGGGTGAGTGCGGGGGGGGCCCAGGGGGCGCTCGCGGGTGAGTGCGGGGGGGGGACCCGGGAGGCGCGCGCGGGTGAGTGCGGGGGGGGGACCCGGGGGGCGCGCGCAGGTGAGTGCGGGGGGGACCCGGGGGGCGCGCGCGGGTGAGTGCGGGGGGGACCCGGGGGGGCGCGCGCAGGTGAGTGCGGAGGGGACCCGGGGGGCGCGCGCGGGTGAGTGCGGGGGGGACCCGGGGGGCGCGCGCAGGTGAGTGCGGGGGGGACCCGCCACGCGCCGAGCGGGTGGTGACGCCGAGGGGGGCGCGCCGAGGCCGGGCTGGAGCCTGGGCGCCCCGCGGTATCCCGGCGTGCGAGGCGCACCTGGGGCTCAGAGCTCCTGGAAAACGGGCTGGTTCTTCCCGGCTTTGGCGAGGCCATTCGCTTTTCCCAGGGCATCTCCTGTACCTGGGAGAGGTGCCTGGGGAAACTGAGGAACAGACCCACAGGCAAAGTTTGGTCCTGCCTGGGGGTGCCCAGGGTTGGGGTGGCCCCGGCGGGCGCGACACCCAGTGGCTGCAGCGGAAGCCCGGGCGGGATTTGTAAATTCTAAGTTAATACTCACGCCGGGGCCGCGGGCAGACGGGCTTGGCCTTTGCGAGGCTCCTGGATGTGGCCGGAGTGGACACGCCTTCCTGAGCAGGAACCTCGGGGATGCGGCGCCTGCCTTCATCTAATGGGGGAGGGCGAACCGGGCTGTTTTCCATGTGAACGGGATGAGCGGGAAGGTTACAGCTGGTGGTGGGGCTGCTGATGACAAGGCCCTGGCTGTAGCTCTGTGCTATAGCTACATTGTTCTCTTCAACTAGAACAGTGGTCGGCAAACTCATTAGTCAACAGAGCCAAATATCAACAGTACAACGATTGAAATTTCTTTGGAGAGCCAAGTTTTTTAAACTTAAACTTCTTCTGATGCCACTTCTTCAAAATAGACTTGCCCAGGCCATGGTATTTTGTGGAAGAGCCACACTCAAGGGGCCAAAGAGCCGCAGTTTGCTGACCACAGAACTACACTGAGTCTGCCCCCAAACTCACCATTCTCCTTCCACAGACTCTCAAACATTCCACAGAGCCTGCAGCCTCAGCCTCGGAGAATCTAGGCTGGAATGTGGTGTATAAATGGGTAGTTTTAAAAGGGGGGCAGGAGGATTTTAGTTGAAGATTGTTCTCGAACTGGTGCCAGACCAGACAAAGGCCATCTGGAGGCTCAGCCCTGGTTCCATAAAGTCTTAATTCTGCAGCTAGAGTGACTCCATGTACTGAATGAGGAAATCGAATCATTTTTAGGAAATCAAATTCATGTCACCGTGTCAAAAATCCTTGCTGTCTTGGGGAGAAAAAAAGTTCAGTTTGAATAGCCCAGTGGTCGGCAAACTCGGTAGTCGACGAAGCCAAATATCAACAGTACAACGATTGAAATTTCTTTTGAGAGCCAAATTTTTTAAACTTAAACTATATAGGTAGGTACATTGTTAACTTAATTAGGGTACTCCTAAGCTGGCCTTTGCTAAAAGCTCAAGGGGCCAAAGAGTCACATGTGGCTCACCAGTCACAGTTTGCCGCCAGTGGACTAGCCCAACAGACCAGTGAGTCCAGAGAGCAGCGCCCGCCCAGAGGGCATTCCTGATACCTGCTCCCCGGTTACCAGCAGGGGGATTCCCCACAGAAAACCACGCCAGACATCATTAGGAACTTCCAGTGCCAAGGATCGCTAGTCTAGAGGCCACAGTGGTTTCAGTTTCTCCCAGGAATTCAGTGAAATTATTTTCCTGCCTCTTCCAAATATCACCACTACAAGGGCCCACCTCCAGGGTGATCCAGGCAGCCTGGGAGCTGTGTCTTCAGCTTGTGACAGCAGCACGCCAGGATCCTTGGGGGTGGCAGAAGCAGAAGAGGTGGCCCAGAGTGAGTGCCAGCTCTCACTAAGGCACTGCCGTGGACTGCCTTCCCAAAATATTGGGGTGGAGGGGGTCAGCAGGTGAGGTACTGTAGGGAACCCACATTCCAGCGCCTTTCTTTGCCTCCAAGGAGCCGCACAACCTGCAGAGAAGGCCCTGTGAGTCTTCTCCGGCTATTTTCCCACTTGGAATGGAAACAATTCATGTCCTGCCCACCATGCCAGTTTTTCTTAAGAGCCATATAAGGTTATCTGAGCACCAATGGTAAAGTATTAAAAAGGTTAGATACCATTAGACTGAGGGACAGGCCATTCATCCACTTGTTTATCCAGCACTTACTGTGTGCCAGGCCCTGGGCTAGGTAGTAGTATGGCCCTAGCCCAGGTTGGGGTGGGATCAATAGGAAGGCCTCTGAGAATTGCTCAGTTTAGCAGCCCCTCGGCTGCCTTAGTGAGGAACAGCGACCCCACCCTCATGAAGCTTTCAATGTAGCGACTTAGTAATTTCTACTTACCGGTATGAGGCCAGTTAAAGCATTGATAAGTGAAAACGGCAGGTCCCCAAAACTCAGGTTTGCAAGTCTTTATCCAGTCAGTGCTGTCAGGTCACCAAAGGAGGAACGCACCAGGCCAGAATGGTGAGGGATTACGAATTTATTCGATCATCCGCACACCAGGTGGCTGAGCCAGGATGGCTCCAGCACCCAGTGACAGGAGTCGGTGGTCTGTAAACGGCTTTTGGCGGGCTTTTTCTGGGCGGAGAGTTCTCTGTGCAGATTCGGATTCTGGGCAGTCCGATGGGAGAGAGAACGGTCTTAGCAAGCGGATTGTGGTCTAGGCAAGTGGAATGCCCACTGTGAAATGGTCTAAAGGTCGGTTCCTAGGGGAGGGGAATTGACTCAATTATTTGATCAGACCTAACAAGTGCCTTTTCAGAGTGAGTGCTTCGTGTCTGTGGTGCATCCAGGACTGACCCCAGGGTGAGCAGGGGGCCGGGTGGGTGAAAAGCACAGCTGGAGGGGTCCCTCTCCATCCTCGGGGTCAGCACATCCCTTTGTAAGACAAGGGGCTGGGACCAAGTCAGAGTTTTCAAATGGCCCACTAGTGGGTTATAGAATCAATTTAGTAGGTTGCAGTTGTTTTGTGTGGTTTTTGTTTTTACTGCAATCATTTGGAATACCAACTATTAGGGTACGTTGCAGAAATACCAGTAAGTAGTACCTCAAAATGTTTTAAATATATATGTATGAACTAGGTCATTATGAAGAATGCGGTTATATATATTATTTCAGAGAGGAAGGGAGAAAGAGATAGAAACATTAATGATGAGAGGCCCCCAACCCCCTGCCCTCTCTGATGGAGCCAGCAACCAGGAATTGAACCGTGACCTCTTGGTTCATGGGGCTGAAGAATGTGGTTCTTTCTATGGGTTTCTCAGCTGAACAAAATTGAAAGCCAGTGAACCAAATTATTAAGATATCTCTCAGCTCCAAAATGCCATGATGCTAAGTCAGTGGTCAACAAACTCATTAGTCAACAGAGCCAAATATCAACACTACCACAACTGAAATTTCTTTTGAGAGCCCAATTTTTTAAACTTAAACTTCTTCTAATGCCATGTCTTCAAAATGGACTCACCCAGGCCGTGGTATTTTGCGGAAGAGCCACACTCAAGATGCCAAAGAGCCGCATTTAGCTCGAGAGCCACAATTTGCCCACCAAGGTGCTAAGTGATTCCTTAGTTCTGCAAGAATCCCTCATTATAGACACACTGTTTCCCTCTAGTGGTGGAATATAGTAATGGCTGTGGCAGGAACTGTAAGTATAAGAAATCAGTGCTAACTGGTGAAGAGCAAGTGAGCATTCTGTTTTGCTTTATTTACTGATTGAAGAAGTCACAGCCCCTGGGTTCTGTTCCTTCGCTGCCCCTGCCTGATGCCATCTCCTTCCTGGCCTTACCCTCATCTTCCATGACCCAGGAAGCTGCTACTTTTGTGATACACATGGCACAGCCTCGGAGTCAACAGTGGGCCATTGGGCATGGTGCTACTTGGGGTATCCTGGGTCACCCCCACTCCCCACTACTCACTTTAGACAAGTCTCCTCCGGCCACTCGGCAAGCCCTGGGACCTCTGGCCCCTGCTGGAGCAGCCCGCTAGGGGCCAGCCCTTTCCTGGCGTGGAGAGAGGCGGGCTGATCAACCCACTGGGGAATCAGCTGGTGTTTGGGGCTGGGTCACTCCAGGGGAATGACTACCCTCTGGCCTGGATCAGATCTGTGGTTAGAAACATAATTGGAACAATTGACCAAAGTGTGGTGGAGAGTTATACACATCCCTGAATGGCTTCCATTCAAATTAAAGTCCATTTGAATGTAAAGGTATCCCGTGTCTTTGGGGATAGGGCTAAGGCTACTTCATTGTAGTCTCTATCACAAGAAGACATGCCCAGGAGGAGCTGTGATGTGTGTGGTTTACTTACCGTGGAGGGAGCACGTGCTGAGAATACAGTGCTTCCTCCTCTACTTTTCCTTCCCTTTTCTTGCCCAACCTTGACTCACCCGCACCCAATTCAACAGCAAGAGTTTGAGAGACCTTATCGATTCCTTCTACAGCATTTAACTTGGATTGCATGGACATGGCATTTTTTCGCTGCCCTCTCTTCACCAGTTTATATAACATTTACCTATGCGATGAGGTTATACGTACCCCCCCGCCTTAAGCAAGTTTGGGAGCAAAACAAGTGACTTTGGTCAAGCAGCAGGTGGCCCCCAGGCAGGCAGGCTGGGCTCGGGTCCTGGTTCCTGCGGGCGCCCGTCCCTATGGTCAATGGCAGTCAGGAGCCTGTCCTCTGAGCCACAGGCAGTTAGGGGACCACCTACCCTGCTAAGAAAAGCCTTCCTTTATCACCGTTCCTTCTATAAAGCACTACAGTACCACACGATCCATCTAATTACTGCTCTCCTTGAAGTCTTCTCTCCACTAATGCCGACAGTTCGGAGATGATT